TTTTGCCTAATCTCTTTTTTTTTTTAATTATCAAATTAAAAAATAAAAAAGGTAAAAAAAAAAGACAAATAACTTTTTAATTAATAAATATCAAATGAACTCCACATTAAAAAGTTAAAATACTTTAAAAATTATAAATATTGAAAAAAAATAAATAGAAAAATGATAAAAAAAGAGAAAAAAAAAAGAAACAAAATAATTGACATGTGGCATACCATTCGTATTAAGTTGGCAAGACAAAAAGAATTTAAAATCTAAAAAAATGTATTAAATATATCAAAATATAAAATAATAGAAAAAAGCAAACGCATGGTATATTTTTAGTATCAAATGGATTCCATTAAAAAATAATTTCAAAATCTTTAAAAAAAATAAAGGTAAAAAAAAAAAAAAAAGAGTTTGGTATATATAAAAGGGGTTCACCTTTAAAAAATAAAATCTTTAAAAAATACAAAAAAAGGAAAAAAAATGAAAAAAAAAAAAACAAATAGAGTGGCATATGGATAGCTTGATTAGCCTCCTTTTTCATAAAATTTATCCAATACAAAAGACCAAAAAATTGAAAAAAGTGAAAAATGGGGAATTAGGAAAAAATGATAAAAAAAGAAGAAGAAATGAGCTTAAAGCAAATGCCATAATTATCACCTTATATCAAGTTTAAAATATTAATTTCATAAATTAAATATAAAAAAACTAATATAATACATATACGTATAAAATTAAAGAAATAAAAAATATATATTTATATATGTATCTCGAAATTGGTCAAAATAAAACATTTTAAATACATTTTCTACCTAAACTCGTTTGTTTGTAAATAACTCAACTTGTTTAAAATCAATTATGATTTTAAAAATTATTTTTTATCAAATTGAAATAAATAGAAACTTGTTAGGCATTAATTATTTTTGTATTTCTATCTATTGATATTTTTCGTTATAAAATTTATCTAATTAAAAAATATATAAAAAGAAAAAAGAAAAAAAGTCAAATAGGGTGCCACGTCAAACCTTCATTAATTTTTTTCACAAAACTACTTTAATAAAAAATGGAAAATAAAAAAACAAAAAAAGAAAAAAGAAAAAAAAAGCTCATTTAGATGCCATGTGGAATTGTGGATATCCCAATTCAATAAGAATCAATTGGATATGAACTCTTTCGTTTTTCCTATTCATTGACTCGTTTTGTTGTAAAATTTATTTAATTAAAAAACAAACAAAATGAAAGGATAAAAAGCAAGTTGGGGTGTTAAGTAGAAATCTAAATAAGTTTTTTTTTCTCACAAAATTTATTTAAATTATAAACAAAAAAGGTTAAAAAAACAAAAAAAAAGTAAAGTAACACATCGATTACATTAAATGAGAGTCAAACAAAAGTTAAAATAAGTTAAATTTATATAATAAATAGATTGATTGATGGGTTACATATTAATTATGGATAAATATAGTTTTTTTATTAAATTAAAATATTAAATAATATATTTATTAATATAATACATATATATATAATTAAATAAATAATTACAAATATAATTTAATATATATAGTAACAAAACACAACATAAATCCCATTTACAACTCAACCTTAATTTTTGAAAAAGATTTTTGATTTGATCTCAAATAAAAAATACACATATCAAATTTGAACGAATTTAAACCTATTGCATATGAGTTTTTTGTTATTCATACCTTTATTAAGATTTTTCTTAAAAAACTTATTTATCGATTTTTTATTATAAATTATCTGATTAAAAAAATAAAAATAAAAAATGTAAAAAAATGAAATAGAGTGTCGCGTATACACATTTATTAGTTTTTCTTTAATAAAATTATCTAATTAAAAAACAAAAAAAAAGAAAAAAAAACAAAGATTAAAAAAGACAAAAAATAAAAATAAAAATAAAGTAGACTTGCCACGTGATATTAGCAATGATAAGTTTTTTTAATATAATTTTTTAAAAATAATTGAATTAAAAAATAAAAATATAAAAATATAAATTTAATAAATAATATCAAGTGGGCCAAACATTGTAAAAGTTAAAATATTTTAGAAAATTGATAAATATTTAAAAAGGAGAAAAGAAAAAAAAAGTAAATTAAAAAATGACAAAAAAAGAAAAAAATAATTAAGAAAATAATTTGGCACATAACATGCTATTGATATCAAGTTGGAGAGATAAAAAAAATTTAAAATTTTAAAAAATATTTATTAAATATATAAAAATAAAAGATAATAGAAAAAAAAAAGCAAACACATGACACATTGTTAGTATCAAGAGAATCTCGTAAAAAAATTTGCTATCTTGAAAAATTAGAAAGGTAAAATAAATTTGATATAAAATGAGGTTACGTTTGAAAAATAAATTTTTTCAGAAAAACATTTATAAAACATAAAAAAATAAGAAAAATAAGAAAAAATGAGCCAAGCCACGTGGCATTTCTTATGGTAAAAATTGTGGATATGAGAATTCTATTTACACCTCACACTTTTAATAGATATGCTTATGGGTCAAGCTTAGTATTATATTTTACCATTTTAAGTAAACTCAAGCTCAATTTGATTCGAATCGATTTTGAGACTTTGTTTTTTGTTTAAATTCGTTCTTACATATAATAATAAAGTTTAAATTTGTCAAAAGCACTGATATTTAAAATTGGGAAAATGATATTTTTTTTCAATTTTTTGTTAATTATTAATTTAACTAATTTAATCAATTTTAATTGAATTTATGAATCATTTGAGTTTAGGTCTAATTTAATTTTATTGAATGTATTTTAAAATTGGATCATTGTTTTGTATAAAGAAGAAATTAGCTTTATCCTATTATAAGTAATAAAGCAAATGAGTTTTGTTCATTATAAAAAATAAAACAAATTGACCTTTTTTCATTATAATAAAAATATATTTTTTAATTTAGCCCGACTTGAGCCTTAAACGGTGAAATCCAAGTCTAACCCTTTTTTGGATCAAATCTCATTTTTTTTGTACATGCCCATTTAATGAGTTTAATATTCATGTTCAAGCTTTTCAAATTTTCATGCAGGCTTTTAGGTTCGAATGGGCCACCCAACCCATGAACAGGTTCATTTTCTACTCTATACACTTTACTTCTAAATACATTTCAAATTTAAAACTTAATGTCTTATTTTTACTAAATACAACCCAACTTATCACTTGATATTTTTCATTCTTACATTTTCTCTCTTAGCTTTTTGAAATCAAGTTTCTAAGAAATGGATATTTGAGAAATTTTAAGACTTATCAGAAATAGATATTAGAAAAGCTTTAAAGATTTTCAGATATTCATTTTCGAAAAACCACAAAGCTTCTTGTATATCTATTTTCAAGAAACTTGATTTTGCTTTTAATCATGCGTTTATGAACCCAGTTACTTAATTATGTGTGCGAACGAAACTAAAATTGATATTCTCAAATATGCATGGTTCAAACTTGGTTTTTCTCTTGATATTCTAGAAACCCAAGAACACCATTTACTAGTTTTTTGATTTTTTAATTTTGCATGGGTAAAAAAGTGTTCTTGGTTTTCTAGTTTTAAGACAAGAACACTTTTATGCTTATGTTTGCTTGAGAACTAACATATTTATTCCATTTGCACAAATGATCAAGTAAGTATGGGCATATCAATGACTCATGTATGTGCATATGTCACGCCCTGCGTGGGTGCACCAGGCGCTCCACCTCGAACACTAGAGGTTAAGGCTCGTGCGTAAGGGACTTTGGTGGGGGTTGTCAGAGCCTGTGACACATACATGCTAGTTCGAACTCAAAAATCTTATAAAACATTGACCCTAACAATGTCACCAGCAGACTATCAAATCTAACAGTAAAAACCTCAAATCTTTGGGCCACCAGGGTACTGATAACCCAAAGATTAGAGGTCATTATTGTTAGAATTGAGCCATACCTTGGAGAAATCATTAAAGACGTTTAGAAATCTTGGCACATTCGATTTTTCCATGCTAGACATTGATCAAAAGATTGATTTATTTTAGTATTATTTATTTTAAGATTAAATGTATTTATTTTATTTAAATTAAAATTTAACGTTATCAAAAGTTTATAATTAAATATTTATTTAAACAAAATTTTATGTATTTTTGAAAATAAATTTTCAAGAATATAATATGACTCTCGAAAATTAATTTTTGAGAACATAATATTTTTGAAAATAAATTTTCAAGAATTATATTGTATTTTCAAAAATTAATTACCGAGATTTATGAAAGTGGTTTTAAGGTATAAAGCTATTGAGAGTATTTTTGTCATTTATTAAAGGTTAAAATTACTATTTGCTACATGGGTATTTTTGAAAAAAATTTTTGAGGATGTACAAAGAAAATTTTGTAATGTATTTAGCAGCACCTTTTGTGGAAAGTATATTAGCAAAATTTATATTACGAAAGGATATAAGTAAAGCAATGGTAGCCCATATATACACTGCTATGACAACTTGCCATCAGTATCTTTTCCTTGATAAAATCGGCTATGCTATAGATAGATTGATGAATCTCATGTCAAGATTGATGAATATCATGTCAAAATTAGATTGCTCAATCTTATACAACTTTTTTTTTCCTTTAGTTTTTTCGTGTTCTTGCATCTATGCCTGTATTGTTTTAAGCAACAACCTTTAAACTTTGATGGGCAACCAAAACCATCAGCTTTTATTGACAACTCAAATAAAGCAAAATGTTTACTTGTTTACTATTCCCTGGTTTTGCTTATTGAGACCCACATTCATTAGCTGAAATCTGATCCCAAAAGCCCCTGCTCTTTTTTTTCTTCCTGTCTTGTAAAGCAATCCCCCCACTTTTGATTGAAATGTCTTAACAAAAAAAGATGTCCCCGACATTTTCTTTTGCAATATTTCAACTAAAAAGTGACCCTTCCACCTAACATTTATATGAACAAACCATCTGTCATCATCTCTCAATATATATATACCTCAACAAACAAGACCAAACATGCCGTAGGCAAAGACCAGAGCCTAAAAGAATGAGAAAGCAACTGTTGTTTCCTTTTCTTTTCCTGGTATACTTCTTCCTTTGCACCAAAACTTTTGCTCAAATAGCCCCAGCTCCGCCATTGCGCAAGGATAATATCACGTCAATCCTTGAAAAGGGTGGCCAATTCACCTCTTTCATTAGGCTGCTGAAAGCCACCCAGGTAGCTGATCAAATAAACAACCAGCTAAGCACCCCCGATCCAAATGATGGGTTAACGATATTTGCACCAAGTGACAATGCATTCAGTGGCCTCAAGCCTGGAACACTGAACTCCCTCTCTGATCAAGAAAAACTCCAGCTGGTTCAATTTCATATCCTCCCTACCTTGATTTCCACGTCACAGTTCCAAACTGTCAGCAACCCTTTGCGTACACAAGCAGGTGATGTTAAGGGTGGTAAGTTCCCACTAAATGTGACTGCTTTAGGGAATCAAGTGAATATAACCACTGGTGTGGTCAATGCAACAGTGGCTAACACTGTATTCTCTGATCGCCGGATCGCGGTTTATCAAGTGGATCAGGTGCTCCTTCCGTTGCAAATTTTTGGACCAACCCCAGCACCAGCTCCTGCACCAGCTAAGCCAGAGAAGGATGTTCCAGTTTCAACTCCTAAAGCATCTACTGGTGACACTGATTCATCTGGTGCAATGAGACTGAAATTCCATCCCAATGCAATGGTTTCTTTCGGATTTGCATTTTTGGGGCTAATTTTTTGGATACTTTGAGTGTGTGTTATTCGCGTGGGATGTGTTATTGCTTGTAACTGCTGTATCATTTGATCTGATTAAATCTTGATTCTTTGTATAATCTCTTTCTCTTTCTGTTTCAATATTGAAAACGCTATGAATAACATTGGCCAGAGAAAAGACCAGCATTTGTTCCATGATCTCATTCTACATATTAATAACCGATCCTTAACAAAAGAAAGAAATTTAGTTACAGAAGCACATTGCCTATCTATCCTTCTGCTATACAAAAGAATTGGAGGCATTTCGGTCCTGGAAACAAAACTCGAACTAAAGTAGAAGACGCTGCTTGAATTTTGCAAAATTTATATGCAATGAAAGGGCTTTGTTCAAGCACATTTAAGCAGTTGATATAGTTCAAAGCAGCAGCGCAGTATAAAAGAAACCCTAGCTCTACTGAATGAGCAAAAAAGTTCCTTCTTTTCTTCAGAAAATATTCCAGCTCCTTGCACCCTCAAGTCTTACAACGACCGGAATGTTGCACAGGCTGAATTGTCCAACCCCATCTACAGAAGTTATGGTAATGAACTAAAAATGAACCAACTATATTCATTTTTTTTTTGTTTAATTAATGAATTTCAAAATTTTATTTGTAATAGTTTACTAAACTTGATAAATAAATAAAAACCAAACTTATTTACCAATTATTCATTGAACACTGTCGTTTAAACTCTTCAAATGTAAAAAAATAAAAAAATAAATGAATCTATTATTTTCATTATTTATTCGTTTAATTAACAAATCTTAAAATATTATTATTATTATTTGTTAAATTTAATAAACAAATAAAAATCACGTACGTTTATACCATTTAATTCGTTTACACTCAATTTTTTACCTCACTGGTTAAACGGAGGCAATAGCCTCTGCTACTTCAAAAATGGCTCAAAAACAAAACAGAGACTATTACTAAAGTCGGATGGGATCCTTAAACATATCATCCAATCATTTTCATAGCCACTAATAATACCGCCCACTGAAATGTTTATGCAATCATTTAACTTCTACGTTAAGCAAAATATATAGTTATGTCATTATTGAGAAAGAGTAGAATTTACGACAGATTAAGATTCCAGAGCGAACCCATAAAGAAAGACTCAACATATAACTAAATTGACGCTCTTCAAGTTCCTATCAACAACTGATACAAATTTTAAAATGTTAAATGGAGCAAAACTTTGCGAAGGGGATAAATTGTTCATGTAAGAAGCCAGTTCTAGTGGTGTAAGTTACATTCTCTGCTAGTAATATTCGTGTTAGGGCTCAAGATTGATAAATGCACTCTTATAACGATTTCTTTAAGGTATCAAAAGTTGAAACCAAATCCACCACCACCACCTGGAAAGCCTCCTTCAAATCCTCCTCCAAAGCCTCCAGGAAACCCTCCATCAAACGTAAATGTGAAATGCTGTCCCCCACCACCGCCAAATGGGTTGAAACCACCACCTTCCATACCAATCTCCTCAATATCTTCTCCTCTGTCATACCTTGATCTCTTTTCCTCATCCCCAAGAACCTGCTAGCAAAAAGCAACATGTTATAAGCATTTAATTTATTTTATCTAGAATAAATGGCATTGATTAAAAAGTATTAATGATCACAAAGTTTTATCAACCAAAAGTTGATGGTAAAACAATATGCAGATGATAGAGAAAGTTAAATATTAATGAATCAGACCTCATATGCAGCAGCAATTTCTCGGAATTGTGCCTCAGCTTCTTCTCTATTATCAACATTCTTATCCGGGTGCCATTGCAAAGCAAGCTTCTTGTATGCACGTTTTATTTCGGCTACTGAAGCAGTCTTTGAAACCCCCAGAATTTTGTACCAGTCTTTGCGTTTGCTCATCTTCAAAGCTTTCTCAGCCCTCGTAAGCACTTCACGGATATTCATATCCTGCAAAGAAATTTTTAGTTCTCATGAAGGCAAAATACACATGATTAGGATAATAACTAAAATATCTCTTAAGTTGATCTGAATTTTTATTAACAGTAACAAAACATAATGAATGTTTAATATAAGGATTTCTATGATGTTACTGTATGATATTCTGTTATCTTATTCTCACTTGGCAACAATTCTAACAAAGAATAAAAAACCGTGAAAGAAAACCATGTATTTTTGGTAGAATTAAAAATTCTTCAAAATGCACAAAACAAAAGAACTTCAAAACTAGTCTTAAATCTACAAAATTCTTATACAGAAAAAGCCTTGTTTTTAGGTATTTACAAATGTACAAATGCATATGAGGTGTCTCATACATAACATATTACTAAACCAAATACCATATGAGAAGCCTAAAACTACGCCCCGGGAGACGAAATTTTAATAGGGACAAATATCATCCATATTTAATATTATGACTAACCTGAGGTGACTTTTGAGCTGCTGATTTCAGATCTTCCACAGCACCTTCCCAGTCCTCTGTTAAAAGTTTAGCCTCACCCCGCTGAAACAGCAAACACAGTTAAATAATAAGAATTATGGCATTATGTTCAACCGTGGTAGAAAGTTAGACAAAGTGAATCGAATCTACAGCAAACCTGTACTAAAGCTTCAAGAAGCTCTGCATCAATGTTAAGTGCATCAGAGCAACTACTTAAAGCATCCCTCCCTCTTCCAAGCTTAACCAAGACCTTACACAATCCAAGGTGAAGATGCACATTATACGCAAGATGATTTGGGTCCAATGCAAGTGCTCCTTTGTAGTCCTCAACTGCAAGACGCAGCTTACCCTTGTTTACATTATCTTCAGCCTACACAAGATTCCATGAGTCCAAGTATCTTGACAAAATTAGGACACATAGTGGATGACATGGCCATCTTTAAGTTAAAAAATAAAATAAAATTGACAGTTGTTTGATAAAATAGGGCCAATATCGAACTCCCATGTATCTAAACCCTACACTGATCTTAAATAGGATAAAAAAGGGAGGGAGAAATCAAAAACATGTTTAGTGGGCCTACACTTTTAGTCTTCTTCAATAAATTTTTCAATCCAAAATATGCTTTCTTCAGTTCACTGTGTTCTGGATCAAGGCGGAGACCTTTCTGGTAATGCCTGAAAAGATCATGTAACATATCTATTAAATCCCAATTCTGTCGGTTACCCAAGAGCACCGTAATACTTTTTTCAAAGAAAAGATTTAAACAAACCTTTGAGCAACATCATGATCTGCTAAATAATAGTATGCACGACCACGAATAAGTAAGGCCTCAAGATTGTTCTCATCTTCCTTGAGAACAAATCCAGTTTCTGATATAGCACTAGAATAGTCTTTAGCTGCTAACAGCAACTTTACCTTGAGGAGCTTAGCCTGCAACAAATGAAGCACATTAGAGTTTATAAAGATAGCTATAACTCGGAAAAATAAAAGAACAGAAATTTAAAGTATGTGCTACCTTTGAGCATGCTGGAGAAAAAACTAGCACAACTTTGTCCACGTAGTCCAAAGCTTTTGTATAGTCTCCAGAGTCAAAGAGGCTGAAAGCTGTTTCCAAAGCACTTTGAGCCTGATGCAATTGAGACAGCTCCTTTTCAGCGACAGAATTTCCGTGTTTTAGTTCCAGAAACTTTTTGTAGCTTTTCTCAGATTCCTCATATCTGCATCATTGAAAAAGCGCCTGTCATATAATTTTCCAATCAGAAGATGAAGATGGCGTGGGAGAGAGTGGGAGAGTGAAAATACCACAATTTTCTGGATAGTATAGGAAAATGTCATCAAAGACTTTAGAATATCTCAATAAAGCCACATTTCATAATAATTTCTTCATTTTTGAATGAAACATGAAAAAGAAAAAAAAATTATTGTTAATGATGGAATACAAGTATATATCCTAACTTCCTAAGTTTCAACAGTACCGACATAGCTGACGCAGAATGGATGCACGGCGAAAATATGCTTCTGAAAGTGCTGGATCTGCTTCAATAGCAGCATTAAGATCATTGAGTGCTTCACTGTAGCGCTTCACTTTTATACTCTGTGAAACACTCTCAAATAATTCAGCAGTATTTCCCGGCTTTCCATCTGCACAACCAAGTGGAAATGTTAAGGCAAAGGAATAGGGAAGGTATGCATTTGCTAACCTACAGTTGCAATCAAACTAATAAACTCCAAGAATACAAATTCTGATATTCAAACAAGATGCACCAACTAGTCAGCTTCAGGGACTTAAAAAGTCGTACAAAAGTCAAACAAAAGATGCATTTCTACAAAAACACTAGCCGAGTATGCAGTCATCACTTTCATGCTTGCACCCGGTGCTTTTCAATTCATTTTGTTAACTATAGTACATTTCAAAAGTAAGAAAAAGAAAATGGAATTTTCAAGCTGAATTATCCAATAAACAATTCTAATCCACCAATATCAACCAGAGTAGGGTAATAACCAAAAATGATGATAAACCATAAAATATGAGGAAACTATTCGTCCTAACCCGATTAGGATCCTAAATTTGATAATCCTTTTACAGGATAATAGCCCCCTTTGCAAAGGAGGGCTGGTCTTTCACGTCTTATTTTCTGTCTAGCAATTTGTGCACATCATAAAATTCAAAACTTTTTTCCATATTTATAAAAAAAAAAAAATCTTCTTTTTTTTCTCACAGTTCTACTCATGTTCAATAAATAAAGATGGCAATGCAGAAGCAATTAATAAAGCATAAAATGACTAATTGACCATTCAAAGGCTTCTCTTGCAGAAAACCGCAATCCAAGAAAATCTCAAAAAGAGTTTCTTTGACCAAAGATAAATATAACCAACACTGAAACAAACAATTAATATAAAAATTTTGATTAAAATCCAAGACTTCAATTTTCAACCAATCTCTAACCCAAAAACTTCCTTTAACCAAACTCAAGCAAGACCCAGATAATCAATGAAACTATACAACCCAGATTTACAGCAAAGACCCACTAATTTTATCCGAAAAAACCACAGATCAAATCTGAACCAACTTAATGGGAATCCTCCAAAAACACACAAGAGTAAAAGTAAAAAGGTGACCAACCCAATGCAGAAACGAGAGGCTGAAGAAGCAGAAGCTGACAAACCAATACAAAATGGAGTATAAAAGCTGTGTAGGCCAATCCTCTCCAAGCCATTGAATTGAAGGCCCAACTCAAACTCAAACACTTTAACATTGCTCTTCCTCTTTTTCTATAAATCTATAGATTTACGTGGAAATATTTTTTCAATGTTTGTTTGGTGATTTTGATTTGGGATTTTGTTGGAAACTCCAAAGTAAAAGAAAATAATTAGTAATGGGATTTTAGTTTATAAATTTCTTCGAGTCTTTGACACTTCGATGAAGCGTTCAATGAACCGAGGATTTGCATGTCGTTACACGTTGTTTTAGCCAATTGATGGAATACACGTGGATTTAATGGTCCCAGCATTGTTCGCACCTGAGGAATTTTAGCCAATAGGAGGTTGAAACGTCATAAGTGATTTTTCTCTGGATCAGAGACCGGCCAAACCAGACACTTTCCTGGACTTCCACAACCCAACACTTCCTTACAGTTGGGCCATTTTCTTACCCGAAAAAAGAATTGCCCAAAGAGGGGGATTCATTTGGCGGTTTTGCTAACAGTTAAGATTAATTAATACGTTAATATGGTAAAAGATAATTGGCAGTTAATTTGATAATTTCAGTGCAACAAAAGAGATACTTTTCAAATTTGAAATTTAATTTAATTCAGTTGATTTATATGATTATCATTAAAAAATAATATTTAATAAATTTAAATTTTAAATTTTAATATTTATAATTTCATTCCTATTCCCAAACTACATCCTACTTTGCACTAAAAAAATACTTTGGTTATATGATTATATAATAATAGTCAAAATCTAAGGCTCACAATTGCTATATCATAAACAAAGTTTAAAGCCCAAAATAAAAACTAAGCTTACGAAGTCTAACAGTAATATGTACATCATCAATTAATGGTATAAAAAATATGAGGTAAGGGGACAAAAATCTGGATTGAATATCTTGATACCGAATAGCTCTCTTTTCTGGTTAGCCTCCTCTCTTAGTTGATTAGATTGCTGATTTTACCATCGAAACGCATCTGAAACTCAAACTCTGATGCTCTTTAATTATCTTCTATTCTTTGGTAAATTCTTATCATCTTAGCAGGATAATCTCTCCAAATCGATATTAACAAGTTACCAAAAACCATCAACATTAGAAATCTTAACGAGTATTTTTAAGGTAGTGTTTGATATCAGAAAATAGAACCATTTTCTGTTTTCATTATTTTAGAAAATAAAAAATAAGAGTGAAAACGTGTTTGATAATTAAAAATGAAAATAAATTTTTAAAAAATAAAAATGAAAATGAGTTGAAATTATGAAAATAAAAATAATATTTTCAATTATGAAAACAAGAGATGTACATTACTTTTTTTTTATGTTTTGTAAGTTATCATATTTAAACACTTTTTAATATCATTAATTAATAAATATATATTATATTTATAATTAAATAACATTAATAGTAATATTATTGAATAGTTTATTTATTTTCTTATTTTTACATTTTAGAAAATAATTTTTATTTTTGTTTACCAAATACATTTTTTAGAAAACAAAATACAAAAAATAAAAACTATATTCTAAAAAATAAAAACAAAAAATATTTTTTCAAACCAAACAGAGCCTTGTCATCTTTCTATTTTCTTTCATTCATTCTTTCTTAGTACGTACACGTAACGAAATCTAAAGGATAGGCATTGGATTGTTAAATTAAATATGAATTATTGTTATTTCATGAGAATGCATAATTAATTAAGTATAGAGTAGGCATTAGGAATCTTTTTTTACTTAATTAATTTGGCTCCACAATCAAATCTAGTATATCTAATTTGGTTTAAAACTATTCCAACTTGTTACAAGCATAGATGCTGTGGGAGCAACTTGTTTTGTAAATGTGGAGGCTAGTAAAAACCATAAGACATGAAATATCAAGTCGGTCCAAAATCATTAAAATCTCAATTAAGTCCTTTTTACCCTTGCATCTATATAAACCCTAATTAATTAAAGGTTAAAATAATAAAAAACTAAAAAATTTTATGATTTTATTTAGATAAGTTCTAATACTTTTATTACATCTAAATAAGTTTTTAATTTTAACTTTACAACCAAAATAAACCCTTAAAATTTAATTTTTGTCTAAATAAATTTTGTTTAATTTGTACTTGAATAAACTATTAACATAAATTAATTTTTTGTTTGAAATAATGATATATTTGGATACAAATCAAAAAATAAAAATTTATTTGAATATAATAAAAATATAAAAATTAATCTAAATAAAATTTAAAAATTTAAAAACTTTTTAAATATTTTAACCTTAATTAAACCTATAGCCATCCCTTAATTGAATCCCAAAACAACATAAAAATGACATAAATTAAGAAATTTATTTGAAAATTACTTGGAGACAAATATATATTTATTACAACTTTTCTCTTTGGCTAAAAATTAACTTGAAGTTTGTGTAACTTGTAAAAAGTAATGAAATTGTTTATTCCAAAATAAAAAATACAAGCAGCTTAAAGCTTCAAAGCCATAGGGTGACCCAGGTCTCAAAAAGCTGGTCGTGACAAGTCCCGATAAAAAGGTGAAAATCATTATTCAATTAACACTCACTTTCTTTATAGGAAAAATCACAAATTAAATATTTTGGATATCTCTCTCTTTTTGTGCATTTCGTTGGGCACATCGATGTTTGCCTCTTCATTGGTTCTCTGAAGTATGAAGAAGCATTCCCATTTCCCAGCTTGAAAAACACAAAAACATAAAAAAACTGTCTTGTACAAATTGTGGCCAGCAACGGGCTGTTATAGGGACAAGAGACTACAGTGCCCTAGACTAGGCAGGAGAGGTCCTTTTCGGCCAAAATTAAGGGTCTCCCCTGGCCAGTCTTCTCCTTAATCACTGTTAAAAGCCTTCCTCAGTGTTTTTTTCTTTTTTTTGTTAGGTTTTATAAAATTGTAGCTTTGATTGCAAGTAAAAAAGTACTAATACTAAATAAAATTGGTAGTAGTTGTTAGAAAATTTAAGAAAGAAGAAATATGATTTTGAGACATAAAAAATATTATTTTAAAGAAGATTATGCATATAGAATATAATAAAATTTTAAAAAAAATTTTGAATCATAAATAGTAAAATTAGTTAAACAAAAAGATCAATTTATAATAAATAAATAATTACAAAACAAGTTAATTCAAAAAATTATAATATTTTATATAGTTATTTTTTTTATTAATAAATTTTAGTTAAATAATCATGTTTTTTGTTCATATATGTTTATTCAAACTATCATATTTTTTTATGTTTAAACATATTTATTCAAAATAAAATTAACATTTTAGTAATATTTTGAAATAAAAAATAAAAGATTTAAAAGTTATATCTATTTACTAAACAAGTCAAAATAACTTGGCTCACTCTAATACTTAGCATAATTACTTAAATAACATAAGTAATCTTTTTTAAACTATATATGAATTATCTTTCTACTCAATATAAGATATACTACATTCTAAACTAACGACAATAATAAATTATTAAAAACATGTTTTAGAAAACAATTCAAACTTTGTTCATGTAATTTTCAATTGGAAACCTAAAACATTCTGTCTTAGTTCTCAGTTTGTTTTGCCTTCTTCCTTTTCTTAGAAGGCTTATATATATAAATATATATTATTTTCATTTCTTTTTATTTTTTTGAAATATCTTAAAATTATGTCATTTTTTTAACATTTAAAACTTTTACTTTTTTATATTTTGAAATTATTTTTTATGATTTTTTTTACTTTTTGATATTAAAAATCATGAAACTTTAAATTTTATAAAAAAATTTAAAATTTAATATTAAATACATTAAAATCAAAAATTTTTTCTTAGATTTTAAGAAAATTAATAATATTTAAACAATTTAAAACAAAGGAAGTAACAAATAAATAAACATATATTATGTATTATGATCTTAGTTATGAAATTTCTATAGCTATATTCAATCTCCCATAATAATCAATACAATTAATATAATGAATAATACTTAAATTATAACAAAATATTCAATGTGATACCTAACATTTAAAATTTTCTAATGTTGTATCAAATTATAGATCTTTTAATTAAGATAGTACTCACTTTTAATATAACTAACTTCAAATAATGGCTTATATTAGATAAAAGCAACTCTTCAAATATTATATTAGTTAATAGATTTATACTTTAAATATTATAATAAAAATTTTTAAATTTAGAACCGTGACATTAATCCTAATCAATAAAAAATGTTTGAAAGTTTTAATTAACAAATTTTAAACTTATTTTTACCAAACTAATTAAATTATATAAAATAAATAGACTTTTATAATATTATATAGGAATATTTGATTTAAAAAATACATTCGTATATTTTTACTAAAAGAGTCAAAATCAAATTGTTTCTTCTCCTAATAAAATAATTTCTAGAGCATCATAACATTTTCTACAAAGGATTATAAAAGAAAGAATAATAATATTTTCTACAAGTGCAATTGATCTTTTGGATATTTTTCCAAATTCCCATCAATTAGCATTCGACAGATCAGACGGCTATCCTTGACTTCTAACACACCTCCAAAGCCATCATTGGCCCCATATAATTTCACTAGATTTCTCATTGCACTTTAAGGTCTACCTTTCAGCCCCTAGATTCTTCCTACTTTGATCCAACATCACCATTTCCTACCCTCCTTCCTCCCCTTTCACTTGATGATCTAATTTAATATTAACAGCCAAAAACAGTGAAGAAAAAAAAAATCCTAAACTAAATAAACAAAGATATAACTTCCAAATATTTAATTCAATCATTTGTGCATGATTTTTTTTATCTCGAAAACTAATCTTTTCCTTCAAATAAAACAAAATAAATAAATATATAAAAAATAACTCAATTCTTAACTTAATTGATTTAAATAGTTATGTCCAAAAATGATTTTTATCAATCATAACTAAAAACTTCATGGAAGTTAAAAAATAAGAATATGATAGATTTAGAATTTAAATTTAAATATATGCAAAATATTTTAATCTTGTACAATGAGATCTATTTATAAGAATAAAAAACAAATTAGAGATGTATAAAGGCTACTACCCAGTCTTCCCACCAAACATTAAAATATAAACAAAATTATCAGTGCAAAGTAAGCTTTTTAACAAATCTAAAAACCAAGAACAAATTAAAACTAGTAAATTAGTCTCTCTCTTCTCCTAATCCTTAAACCCACCAACGTTGACGACTCTGCCGCATTACTTTGACGAACAGTCAACCACATACTTTACTACGTTTCTGTGCCGTTTAATTTCGAAAAGAAGACAGAAATTTTTAATATTATAATAATACAAATAAGTAAAGAAAAAAAAACAACTCTGAAAAAACGATAAGAGAGTTGAGACACAGAACAAAACAACAAGAACAACAACGAGTACATTCATGACTTGGAGTTGGCTCATTGTTTGGTCATTTCAAACATGGAATTGGGGCCCTTTCCCCGACCCCTTTGGCAGTTTCACTGACCATTCACAAGATGAGCTTCTGTGCTCTTCTGGGAGTTTGCTTTTGCTTTACCTTATACACCGAGACTCCAATTCGGTCCCCAATTTTCAGCTTTTCTAAAACTATATTGCAGATATATTGTATAGGAATAGGACCCCGATAGTATATTTTTGCTGCATATTTTTTATACTGAGCTGTAAGCCTGTAACGGTATTTGGAAAGGTAGCTGAGCTCAGTGGTTGCTGGTGAATTGACTCATGGTTGAGCCAATTGATGCAAATTTGGCTAGTTCTTGGGGTAAAAATGGACGAGCAGATTGATCATTGCCCATGCCAAGGAAGTCTCTAGTCAGGCTTTGATCGATTGAATTTGAACCAGGGTGCGTCTTTAATTGACTTGGGTCACTTTTTTTTGCTCCTGTTTGTGATATGAGCTGATCATGATTGTTGCTTGCTGTACTTGTCATTGGATTCAAGTTCGAACTTCCGAGACCTGCATCAACGCTCATTGATACACTACTTGATGCCATGAAATTCTCTTGTTGCTGCTTCACATTTGGATAGACCTGGTGCAGCTGATCATTTCTATTCTGAGTTGAACTAAAACTAGCTGTGTGAGAAGAAGATGAGCTCATTACACCAAAACTGTTTCCAAAGAACGATGGATTGCTTCTTGTTGAACCCATCTGAGCTGCTTTTTGCAAAAGTGCAGTTGCGGACATGGGTGCAGCAGGCTTAGATTGCTTGTATTGAGTATCAGAATAGAGAGACGAAAAACTTTCCATCAAATTGCCTTTGCTTCCACCTTCTTCTTTTAACCCTTGTGGCAATGGCGATAAGGAGAGATTGGAATTTGTTGAAGTTGCACCACTCTTGTCAAATCCAGGGAAGTTACTGTGGTTACAGAAATTAGTCAGTGAAGATGAGCCAAAGAGATTGCCCGAAGCCATTTGAACCATCTCAGGCAAACCTGTCAAATTCAATAAGATTAATTAGGCTTGATTTAACCTAATAAAAAACAAACTAGGATGAGGAGGATTAATTATATATGTTGGTACTTTGATGAGATTAGTTACCTGATGCAGACATCCCGCTATAATCTTGCGCAAAACCAGAACCAAATTGAGGAATTCCAGCAACATCTTGAACTCCTCGACCAGCAAATCCATGAGGCAGATTCACAGTATCATTTCTGAAATTTAGGTTTGTGGTTGCAGCTGAAGTAAGTCTTGCACTCTCTTCAGCTAAGGCGTCGCAAAAAGCTCTATGGGTGATAAAGCTGTCTTTTCTGTTTGAATTAAAAGAACTCCAAATCAATAGACAAGCAACACCTCAAAATTCAGAAATACAAGCACTTATTACCTAATCATTAGGTTGCATTAAATTCAAAAACTTAAAGCCATGAACCCTCAAATATGAGCATTTAATTCCTTATGATGCAAAACGTTGTAAGAAAAAGAGAAAAGATTTGAAACCGAGAGAAACAAGAAACAAAGGTTTATGTAATACCTGGAAAATAGTGTTCCACAGTCACACTTGTACTCTCTAGTACCACAAGTTTTGGAATGTGCTTTCCAGTCGGATTGAACGGCATATTTCTTTGAACATTTCTCACACTTCCACTTCTTCTCTCCATGTTTTCTGCTATAATGTTTCTTTATTCCAGTGAGGTCGCCAAGTGCCCTGGATGGATCATGGTGTACGCAGGTTTTCTCAGGGCAAATATAAACCTTCTTCCTAACTTCTTTGTTGGTTCTTTGCCTGAGCTTCCATGGAAGATTGTGACCCCTGCGATGAAGCTGTAAGTTTTGGTCTCTTTGGAAACCTTTGTTGCATATTTCACATATGAATCTGTTTGTAGCCATAAGAGTCTTGGGAGATAAAGCAATAACTTCAGCATCTGGATCTGTTAAGACAGAAAAAAGAATATTAATTAGTGGACTAATTGGTTCAACAACAACAACTGAGAAAAGGGTATTATCAAAAGAGAAAGAGGAACTCATTAAGTAAGCTTGCCTGGAGTTCCTGGAAGATTTCTCTTCTTCTTAACAGGATTCGGATTAGCTTTAGGGTTAGGGTTTGGATTATTTTGGTCTTGAACAAACCCTCCTATTGAAGCAGGCATGGAAAACGCATCACCGGACATAATTTCTTTCTTTCTTTTTTTTTTTTTTTTTGGTTTTGGAACTAAATTCCGAAAACTGATAGTTTTGAAAATTAGTTGCTAGAAAACAACTAGCTTTCAAAAGGCTTAAAAACAGTAGAAAACAAAAGCAAACAAAGATTTCTCCAAACACAAGCAGATAAATCTTTGGGAGTATATTCAAATACTGACTCTCTTTCTCTTTCTCTCTCCCTCCGATTCTGCCCAAAGAGACAAGAAAAGCACAACTCAAGCTTAAATCTAAAATATCCTCTCCACAAATATATTTACTTACTAAACTTTAAAACAAAAAAGAATGGAGAAAAAACCCTTTCGGACTCTTCTTACAGAGATCTGGTTTTTACCTTGTTTGATTTCAAAAGAAAACACCAAAAATCATGATGACTAAGGAGAATATATCTCTCTATCTCATTTTCTAAGACTCTCTCTCTCTCTCTTTTTTATAGTCTTATTCTTACATTATTCTACTACGTCCTCCTTTTTTATCTTTTACCCATATCTTCAAAGTCGGTCAGCCATTGATTTAGTTGGGCCACACCCTCTCCCCTCCCTCTCTCTTTCTCTTTCATACACAAACGCACGATTGTGGAAGTTTGCGTATGTGTGCAAGACAGCAAGCTGCTGCTATTGAGTAACCAGATGAGCTGAAAATGTATAGGTTTCTGCGTGTCTTTTGGAGTAGTTGTAGTAGGAGTAGCTTTTTGAGCTCAAACTACATAGTAGAATTTATATCTTAATAATATTTTAATAGTATTAGCAGTTGTACCCAAGACAAAGAAATTTAAATAATAGTAAAAAGGTTACTACCACTGCTACTGTATCATATCATATAGTTAGTACCTATAAAAAGGGCAATTTGATGGGATTGTTTTACCAACAGAAAAGAAGAGCCGAGAAGAAATGAAGGGTATTTTTTTTATTTTGATTAATTTGTGTTTTTTCTAGTAATTTGCGTCCAGGAAAAAGGGGGACTTGGGTTAAAAAGTGAATTGCCTTTACAGCCATTTTGATCAGGTATGAAATGATTAAACCATAATTAAAAGAAAGACCAAATTTAGGAAGAAGTTGCAGGGTACATGGAAGGGATGATAAAGTGAGAGCATAAAGCAAAATGTGAGAGAGAGAGAGAGAAGGGGAGCTGCTGAGCTGAGCTGATGGCCTGAGACAGAAGTTGGGGTTCCCGAGAGAGAGAGAGAGAGGGGAAGTGATAGGACGGTCCGTGATACCTGTCTGGGTAGAGGGACCCAGATTTGGACTGTGATTCTGATGCTGCACCCTCCTCCATCAACCCAAAAAGTATTGAGTGCATGTTGCCAGTGATATGTACTTGTCTTTGTTTTTGTTACTGATGTTGATGATGATACTCTCCACTTGTACAACACAAGTCTACTATATATATATTTTAATTTTTACTGCACGGATTCTTTCATTGTTCAAGTGTTCTACGGATCAAAACACTTACAATTTGAAAAACCCTTAATTTAATTTGTTGTGATTGTTTATAAATTTCAATGATTCATGAAATATAGGTTAAAGTAGAACTCTGTGTTGGAGTACATATTCATTTTCATAATATGTACTATCATTTTTAGCTATAGTCATTGATATCTTTTTTAGCCAATGATAAAACTCGTTTATCTTATAGGAATTATAACAGGAAAAAAGGGAATTGAATAGGACATGTTACCAATTTCTTGAATTTAATCTTTCATTCCTGATGATGGTGAGATCTCCATCAATGAAACAATTCAGATTTGGTTCAACTAAATTGGCTGTAGCTAAAAATAGTATATTTTGTATATATGTTCAGTTCAAGTACTGAGCATATAGCAAAGAGGAGATAATTATTAAATAGGGTAAAATCTAAAGACAAAATTTATATTCAAATCATAACTTTTGTCAATTATCTTACAATTAAGGTTCAATCCTTGTGGGATTATTATGAGAATAAAATTTTAAATGTCTTATGTCAATGTAAAAGAATGCAGTTTTAATATCGTTCAAAAAAGAGATTAGATTTGGATAAAATCTAAAAATATTCCCGATTGTATTATAGAATTTATAAATAAAAAAAGTAAATAAACCTTCTAATTATCGGACTTTGTAGTTGGATCATAATTAGGCAAGTGATTTAGTTTGATTTGAGTTTGAATGGATTGATTATAGGAGCCTGGTACTGCTGATCAAAATTCAAAGGGGTTCGATTTCATTTTCATGTTGATAATAAGCTGGTACATGAATTATCAAATTCCATGACTGATCACTTCCTATAAATGGGTGTAACAGTTGAGGGTCCCAAAATGTGAGAATCCCATGTTCGATGTGTTATTGCCATGATAAGAACTTCTCACGTTACCGCAGCTTAAAAATTGGGATATGATAGTTCATTGAAAAAAAATTATGCCATTTAATTAATTAATTGAATTACCATGAAAATTTTAATCTAAGATGCCATTTTATATCTTATGCTACCATCTTCAGGTGAATAGCTAGTGTGAAAAACGCTTTACTTCTGCCATCTTAATTTGTATATTTTGCTCCTAAAATAGTAATCTTGTAATAAAAATATTGCTTACTAAAGAGTTTACATTAATTTACTTTAATAAAGAGTTTTAGATTAATAAGAAAAAAATAGATAATAATTAGTCAATATTTAATTTAATAAGATCATAATTATCAATTAAAGAAGGTTTACTTCATAATAATAAAACGCTTCAATGTTAATAAAGAAAGAAATAAAAATAATGCAATATTTAAATATAATAAAAAATTAATTAAGGTCAAAATAGTTAATTTAATAAATTATCAAGAGTGTATATGTCGTTTACTATTTGCACTTTTAAAATCCATCCTTTTATATATAAATATAAAAATATAGGTAAAGATTAATTAGACTCTAAAGTGAACTAGAAAAGAGAAAATTATCAAAAATCAAATAACAAAAATTTGACTTGATAAGAAATTAATTTCCCATTTAAATTCTTTTATTTATTTATCTATTTATTTATTTATTTTTATTGTAAGTGTAGTGCCTATAAATCATGACCAAATTACAATTTGATGAAATTATTTTATAGCATTATATCAAATACTATATGTATAGAATCTTGAGATCCTAAGTTTAAGTTTCATTATATGTGAGTTTGATTATTTAATTATATTTTAATTTATTATTAATTATTCAGTGATTATAACTTGATCATAATATAATAATTGATTATATAAATGTAATATTTGATTATAATTGTAACTTAAAAAAAATACTCTATATAAATTCTTAATAAAATTAGTTAGGAAATGGTTGACTTCAAACTTATTTGTAAAAGCTACTAGAGTGGGTGACCAACCATATTTTTACTACTCTACATTAAAGTTATATGTACTTTTCCATTAATTTTGATTTTCTTTTCATCACTTCTCACACCTAAGACAACTCTACCAAGACGGTTTGGTATGAAATATAGGATATGGACTTGTCACTCCTCATAACTATTTAAAAAAGCATGCATACCATGGTGAAAAACGTGTTGTAGCTAGTTATTAATTTTGATTTTGATTCTCTTTCGTGCATTGGGGACTCTTTTAAGTCTTTTTTTTTTCTTCCTTGTTACATCATATGTCCATTCATGAATTTTAATCACATGACATTAATTAATTATTAAATTTTTTTTTGTTATATCAAGAGAGTAAAGCTTTAATACAAGTAAAAAGAAGGGAGGAGGTCTGGTTCGAAACCAGACCCTTGATGTTCCTTCAAGTGCCTTTAGCTACTAGGCCAAAGGCTTGAGGATAATTAATTATTGAGATTTTTTAATATGTAAAGCTCTTCTCCTCCTCACTTTTTCCCTTCTTTTTTTTTTTTTTTTTCTCTATATAGTTATGTAATATGTATGTATCTCTCATAAATCAAACCTAGTTTTTATGTTGTGGGTACTTGATCTGACAAACAAAGTTATGTCATTCATCATGGACATGTAATAATATCGTAAAATGCCTTAATTTAACTTCTTCGTTGTTTACGAATTAATAAAATTGAATTGTTTCAATTAAACATTATTTAATGCGCGTAAAAATACATACAATATTTTTGCCGCACGTCTACATCAAGTGAGTTCGTTTCATGTGGTCGATGTCTTTATCCAAGCTGACTTTGAGCAAACCCTGCCACTGTTCTATTCTACATTATAATTCGATGGATGCATTCGGTGAAAAAGATCGAATACACACATATAACAAGAGGATACGTATGATACAAACAATTTTAAGCATTAGATAATTCAACTGCTTTTGGCTCTATGCATTCGGAGCTTCCTTCCACAAAAAATGATGCCCCTCTTTCCTTGGTATCTTATGCTTTTTGTTTCAAAAATATCAGTAGAGAGACATGCAAACGTAGGGACACACACAAAATCACATGTCCCGTTTGTTATTTTTTTCCCAAATATCTAAAAAACCCTAATTCTCATATGATGAATTAAGAAATAAGAAGGGGAGGGGAATGAGTTATAAATATAATGTGTCCGACCAGAAACGACATGATCCTTCACATTCATCCATTGCATAGATTCCCAATCCCTGTCCCACTGTTTTACTTATTAGAGAATTCATGCTCAATTTTTTTACTTTATTGTTCTCCCGAAGAGCCTGTTTGGTAATATAGAATCAAACTACTTAAATACAAGAGATCTGATCAAAATTTTATTAAACAAAAATAGATAATGTTCCATAAAATACATTGTTTAATTTATATGTTTGTTTGTTTAAATCGGGTTTCAATCGCCCTATATAATTCCCCTTAGATGAAATTAAGAAATAAGTATCTTGGACCGAGAAGATTTGGGATTTCTCAAAAATTTTTAACTGTACCAGCTCAATTAATTATTAAATTAATTATTTTAGAAAAATATTTATTTTCTTGGTTTCAAGTGAAATGAAAATTTTAAAATGCCCATTCATAGAAGTATTTCTCATCAAGTACGATGTGAACATGCAAAAGCGTGATCTTTATTAAAAAAATTAGTGGGAGGTTTGCCTAATTATACTATTAAACAAATTAGGAGAAGGTGACAATATATAGCTTGGCCCATGTATATAATAACCCTCCTTTAGGGGTGTCTATTAGTAAGGTTGAGATTGGAGTTTCAACTCTTTAATCTAGGAGTCTATCCCCTTCTATAAAATTGGCTACCCAAAATATATAAATACCAAACTAGACAATTAATAGTAGCAACACTTATGAGAAAAGAATTCAGTTCATTATTTTATAAATTATATGTATGAACTAAATATGTATATATATAATTATCATTTTTTTCTTCAATAATCAGGAAAAAGTGATAAAAGGTGACCAATTGAAAACTTCAGTTTTTCTTTTTTGGAAAAAAGGAGATTTTTTAACTCATTTTTTTGAACGAAGAATATATAT